GAATTATGTTTTCTATAGCACACAAGAAGGCCATTTCATCTGTGTATCATGCCCTCTGACTATTGATTAAATGGATGTCATGATAAAGATGGTGGCAAATTTTCTTGAGAGAAGTCAGTGGCATATTTGTCCATGGATCACATTCTTTTGGAACTAGGATATTGTAAAAAAAGTTCAAATTCTTTGCTCTTTGAGGCAAATGAAATTTCAAATAACCAATAACTAATGAAAGATGGATTATTCTAATCATAGCCTTAATGAATTATTAGAAGTCATTAATGCTATCTTGGTGAACAGCCAAATTATTGTACCAATAATTTTTTGACATTCTTGTTCACTAAACATTGTTTACATATATGTGAAAGTCTCAGAATTCTCAGTGATCTGGCTTTGAAGGTATAGGATGCAACCCAACAAGAACAAAGGTGGGGTTGTGGGCTAGAGGATGGTATGGGAGGACTAGAAAACCTGTGTCATATTTTCCCCTGCATACATCCAGCAAACAAAGAAGTATTTTCCCCCCAGTGGAGGTGAAAGATTGAAAATCTTAGCTGTCCTTTTATAAATCTAAATTTTAACTAAAATGCATATTCTTTTTGTTGGAAGTAAGACTAGTTAGGAACCTAGGATAGTTGGGATAGTTGTGGCATGCAAATGGGATAAAAGGTACCTGAAGTAAAGAGAGAAAAGTTTAGGGCAGACAATACTAGACCACACACAGAGAGGAGACCCTTGTCCACTAAATTTGAAAAGCTTCGGGTATGTCCATGGATATTCATAGTTATTTTCATAATCCAAGACCTATCTAGTTGGCTCTGATCTCATGAAAAATATCTGAAGATATTAAAAGGGCCTTAACCTGACTTAAGTTTTCTTACCTTAATAGAAGGGGAAGTGGAACTCATCCTTTTTTGCCCAAATGTGTTCTGATTCCTTTCTATAATGAAGTAGGACACATTCTGAGACGATTTCTGACTCTTCTTCTCTTTTTTTTATTGAATGGTAACTATGTACATTAATGCACTTCTGGGGTACAGTGTGGGGTTTTCACACACAATCCAAAACACTTCCATCAAACTGGTTAA